GCCGAGTCATTCAAAAACAAAACATGGAGGAGAAAATATTGCAATGCTTTGCGATGTTTCAAGTATCGTGATGCATCGTGATAGAATCGCATCGTGGCCTGTGAATCGTGATTCGAATCGAATCGTGACTTCTTTGGCGATACCCACCCCTAGTGAACAGCCACTGGGTCTGTTGGGGCGTCTCGGTTAGTTTTGTTTGTAGCCTGCTAGCTTTCTCTGCAAGTATTTTCCTTCTACTAAACATAGAAAATAATAACAAAGATCTATAACTGTATACTAGGATCAAAGTGGTAACTTACCAGTTAAATAATAAAGCTGAGAAAATAGAATCGGTTTTACGTCCGGCTTCTTCTTTCAGCCTGCGCCAACAAACAAACTCTTCCAAAATTGACTGTTTTTCCTCGATCCCTTTCCTCCTCAGAAGGTTTAAACTTTATCCTTGCCTCAGCCATGACAGTAGCTGAAATAATAGAGCTAAAGCCTTAGCTCCATCACTATATAAGAGCCTGTGGCCGTAACTTGATATGTTCTTCCAGTTCACTTGACCTGTAGGGAAGGAACGGTTTTTGAAAACCGTCCGAACCGTTCGGTTCGACTGTCTCGGTTCGATTCGCGTGTGTTGCGTTCGGTTCATGCGCGGCTCTTTTTTTTAATAGGCGAAGCGTTTACACTCCAGAGCAGAAGGTGGCGGTAATGAGACCAAAGCCAACCACCAGTAGTAAACAAGAAGAAGAAGAAGCGAAGCAGCTTAGTAGAATTTAGAGTTGAGACATGAGGGTGAAGGCGTCCGAACTGAGATGCGATGGTTCTTCAGCACCGGGTCCTTTCCCGCCCTGGAGGGAAGCAGGTCTGAATCTGTGTGTGGTTTCCATGGTGATGGGTGGGCTCTCTGTTTCAGGGCTCCACAGGAGATCGCAGCCAGTGGAGGGAACCCACGAGGACCCCCGATGGCCTCTGCTCCTTATACGAAGCGGCGCTCTGCCTGTTTGAGGAGGTAAGAGGTCCAACAGCTCCTCCAGAGCTTCCTCTCTAAATGCTGTTCTCTCTGCTACAACAGCAGCCAACAATCTCTGACTTCTTCCAATGAATGAAAGCATTTAAAACAACTTTTTATTTTGATCCAATATAAAAAGCTGTTTGATCTGAAACGGTTGGGGAGATTTAAAGCCGCCACAGAGGGTTCCTCCTCTCTGATGGCCTGTTGGTTAGGGCATTGTCCTTAGAAAAAAGTTCTGACTGCCACTCTGGGTCCCTGAATTAAATTAAATTATTTCTTTATTTATTATTAGTATTATCTCAGTCCCACCTGTCTGTTTTGTTTTTTTCTTTGTGCTCCAGGTGTGTCGGATGGCATCAGACTACTCTCGCACCTGCGTCAGCCCTGACAGCATCCAGACGGGCGAGGCTCCGGTGGTCTCAGAGACCTGCGAGGTGTACGTGTGGGGCAGCAACAGCAGCCACCAGCTGGTGGAGGGAACGCAGGAGAAGATCCTGCAGCCCAAGCTGGCTGCCAGCTTCGCCGATGCTCAGACGGTACGTGGAGGAGGTGCTCCAGGGTTTAACCATCGGGTCAGACTCTGGTGGATGGATCTGGATGATGATGATGATGATGATGATGATGATTGGCGTGGAGGCTTTTGTTTCAGGACTGTAAAACTCACCCTGAGGAAGTCTCTCTCTCTCCTTTATGTCCTTCCTCCCTCCCTTCCTTATTCCCTCATTTCCTCACTTCCTTAAATGATTGACATATGTGTGTGTTCCACATGGAAATGAGACGTGTGAACACATCGCCTACAGCTTTCTATCTGTGCAGCTTTTACGGGTGTACCAATATGGTGTCTGGCTCCAGGGGTGTGTTCACAATGAGCATCAGCTCACTCCGCCACGCTGCAGGAGGCTAACGCTCATTTCTGTCCAATCAGCACATGTCTCTACATGCTAATGTCTGCTTAGCTCTCCAGCTGCAGCTGTCACTGATCCGCCATGTTTATCTGTCCAGGTTGTTGTCATTTTATCTAGATGTGCTAAAACAATGACATTTCCTTCCTGGCTTCCTTCTTTGTGACCTTTTTGCCTTTAGTCCTCTTTCCCTTCCTTCCTTCTATACTCCTCTCTTCTTTTCCTTCGTTTCATCCTTCCTCCATCCTTTCCTTATTACCAACCCATCTTTCTTCTTTCTTTCCTAAAACAGGTTTGAGTTTGGGAACCTTGGATGTGCCTGTATTGTTTCTCAGTGTCTTAGTTTTATGTTTCTAACATTTAACATTTTAATGCTTTGATCTAAGTGGATGATGCTGAAGCCTTTGTCAGATGCCTCTGAGTGCAGCTGTGTTGTGCTGCTGCGGCGTCTAACCTGGTTTTCTGCTGCCGTTTTCCTCAGATCGAGGCGGGTCAGTACTGCACGTTTGTGATTTCCTCCGACGGCTCCGTCCGAGCCTGCGGGAAAGGTAGCTACGGCCGCCTGGGCCTCGGAGACTCAAACAACCAGTCGACGCTTAAGAAGCTGACCTTTGAACCCCACCGAGCCATCAAGAAAGTGTCCTCGTCTAAGGGCTCGGACGGACACACCCTGGCCTTCACCACGGAGGGCGAGGTGTTCAGCTGGGGCGACGGCGACTACGGAAAACTGGGACATGGGAACAGCTCGACTCAGAAATATCCAAAACTCATCCAGGGGCCTCTGCAGGGGAAGGTAGGCTTCAACCCTCCATCTCAGGGCTTTCAGCTTATTTATTTATTTAAAAAGCTTTGTTTGAAACCAGTTTGGCTCATTTATGCTTCTGGAGACGCCTCGTTTTTTTGTTTAATGTAAGAATGGCTTCTGCTCTGGAAGCTTCTATCACATTTTAATTTGAACGTGTCTGTCCAGAAGAAGCAGATGGAGCTTTTTCTGTTTTTTTGCTTCATTCCTATTATGTGTGTGTGTGTGTGTGTGTGTGTGTGTGTGTCAGGTGGTAGTGTGTGTGTCTGCTGGCTACAGACACAGTGCTGCCGTCAGTGAGGATGGGGAGCTCTACACCTGGGGGGAGGGAGATTTTGGCAGACTAGGTGAGTAGCTTAACATTGCTACGTTTCTATATGAACAATACAAAACAGTTTTTCATCAGTTGTTTCTCTTTTACCGCTTCCTACGGAAGAGGATTAGGGCCACTGAAAAAAATAAATAAAAGTTAACTGATTTTTACATTTTCTTTCAGCTTAATATGGGATGAAAGTCAGAATTCTGACTTTAACCTCAGAATTCTGAGAAAAAATTCAGAATTCTGAGATTAAAGTCGGAATTCTGAGATTAAAGTCGGAATTCTGAGAAAAAAGTCGGAATTCTGGGATTAAAGTCGGAATTCTGGGATTAAAGTCGGAATTCTGAGA